TGTGTTCCAGCATTTCTTCAAGTTCCTCAAAGGCTTTTTGAACATCATAATGGACCAAACGGATTTCTATAGAAAATAAGATAAATATAACGGGAATAAACTCAAGTAAAGATCAAGTGATATGTGCTTAGAGTTGCTATTCAGATGCCAAAACTAGAAGAAAAAGGTGTCAGTTTAGTCCTACCTCCACATAAGAGGCAATGGCTAAGATCACTCCGGTGTCTCTGGTAATAATATGGGCAAGCAGTAGCCAAAGAGACAAACCTTGTCCTTAGACCGACTTTTTGTTTGGCTGTTTGGTTGGTTTTCTTAATCAGAATGTTTCTCTTAAGATAAAATCCAGATTCTTGTTACCTTGACTAGTTATTTTCTGTGATAAAGTTCCATAAAAGCTTTTCCTTTCTTCCCTAGATTCCAGTGATAACTCCCAAGTAACTGACTCAAAAAAGTTGGGCTTCATTCCTGGCAAAACCACTGTGAACTAGGGTCTTCCTGTACAAAAAATGTTTGCAAATGAATTATGAGAGAAGCTCAGGAATAATAGAGCTATCTAGAAAGAAAGAAGAATATTGGGTTAAAACTTAGATGACTGAATCAATTTCCTTGAATATATTACAGGTAATATCAATTAATAAAATCAAAAGATTATTAAGAGTCTAATATACTTCCCAACATTTATTGGTTTGTATAACCTTTTGCAGCTTAGACCATCTCAGCAGTAAAATTAGAGAAGTTTCACTAAAAACTGAACTGCCCAGTATTCAAACACTACACCACTGTTTCACAGGATGCAACAGAAAAGGCAAGCTGTGCATTAAAAGAAAATACAGAAATGGTTGACATCAGAAACATTTTTCTGTAGCAACGTTCATATGAAATTGAAATAACTATTCAAGATAAATGGCTAATCTTCATACATATGGCCCTTGCTAGAATTAAAATTTATTCTATATGAGCAGAACGAGATTTTTCATTCTTTTAAATAATTGTTTAAAAAACATTCAAGTCCAAATTACGGACGTCAAGCCTACGAAATGTTATTTTTAAGCATCAAGCTGTTTTCTTTTACTTAGAGAGAAGCCAAGGAATAAATTGCTAAATATAGTTTATATGTTGGAAACAGTGACACAACCTTCATTCTCTTCGTGCTGTAAAATATGTGACTTTAAATATAAATTTTACAGAACAGTATTTTTCTCAACAGAGATTTCATTTCACTGAGTGAATCACATTAATAACACTTAGCTTATATAGTGCTTTTCATCTGTGGATCCACCAGCACTTTACAAAACGTAAATTCATTACCAATATTTTACAGAGATGCAATAAAGATTTGCTGAAGGTTACGCAGTGAGTTAGTAACACAGCTGCTGAAGGAATAGTCCCAAAAACTTGCTCCTTACCTATTAGAACACAATGACCTGAACATTAATTGGTTTTTTGCTCTTCTTTCAGCATGTCACTGGAAAAACGCCCTGAGAATTTATTATGGTGAAGTAAACCAAGTCAAGTCTCACGCAGCACATTGTGATCCAGTCACCTAATATTTGTTTGCCATATTTATCCTTGTGCTGTCTACACAGACAACTGAGAAAGCTAGGTGTGAAACGTCCATACACAGAACAGTCCCTGCCAAAGGAAACTTACACTCAAGACCAGGAGTGAAAAAATAGAGATATACGTGACACTGAGCATTTAGCAACTGTCCTACTGAGATTGGTTTACCTATTTAAATTTTTTTGTGAGTTACCTTGGTAATGAGTGGCTTGGTGGGAATGACAAGAAGAAGGAATTCATCTGGAATGGAAGGATGGATGTAGGAATACAGTACAATAGAGGAATTGCCCAGAATAGTCTAAATTTTTTTCTTTGGTAGAAAAAAAGCATCCAGTCTTCAGGCGCTTTTCTAAATTCCTAACTTTTCATGGTTTAAGAGTTAGTCTGGCCTCTGCAAACTCAAATGACACCGGTGTTAATTTGGAGGAAGTATTTCATTTAGTAGAGTCACACTGGATTTGTGTGGATGCAATTGGGAACAGAATCTGTCTGAAGAACCAGCAAGCCTAAGCACTTGCATCAGTTCCCAGAATTCTTGAAAAGTTTTCTGATACCTCATTTGCACTGTACTTGCTTTTAGCACTACAGTAAAATCCTACATATCATACCCTTCACAGATGTGGAGTGGTGTGTCTCTTCTTAAATAGAATTAATTAGACTATCGATTCACAGCAGCTGAAAATCCAGCCCCCCATTCTACAGCACATGTCAATGTTATTGCACAAACAATAAGATTTGCTTAACAAAAATATAACTCTGGTCTTTTCAGGTATCACTGATACTTGATTGTTTCGAGTATTGGCTTTCTGACAGGGTTTGGAATGAAGCCATTTTTATTAATTTAGTTATTTTTGCTGATATAAAAGGTCGTCTATCATGTTAATGATGTATCGGTCTGTGGTACCACCGAACAATAATTACAGAATGTTCCTAATAGTAAATCATTTGTCACAATCAGAGCTCACTACAACAACCTTTTGTTGAGCAATAGAATACATTAGGTGAATAGCAATACACCTTTATGCTTACCAATTAAAGGATCCCACACACACAGAATTTACATGAACTTTAGAATGAAGTATCATGAATTACGACTGCTGCTTACAAAATCTTGCTAGGTATAGAACTTGCTGCTAATTTTTAACTTGTCAAATCATTTGTATGTATCTTTTCAAGTATAATTGGAACTGCAGACAGATTTCCCAGTCTGTCAAATCAGAAGTGTTTGGAAAATTTCATAGGATCAAGGACTTTTAAAATAGACGCAAATAAATATTTAAAAGACCAGCTAATCTATTCAGAATGCAAATATGTCCTGTCACTCTATTACTCCATTTAGATCGTGATTTATTTTTTTTTTTCTTGTTTTATCCATTTGGTAAAAGCTGCAAAAAGATTTTGGTTTAGGAAAGAGGTCTGCAATTTCTAAAGACAGGTAGCACTTGAAGGTTAGCTGTGAAGGGTAATTTGGTCGCATCCCACAAGTGTGTCCCTTTTAATTTCCAGCTGCTGAATATCATTAGCATACAGCAATAAAGCAGAGCAGTAATTTTAGTACTTTCTGATACTCACAGAGTTGCCACATAGAACTGGTTCATGAACTAATTCACCTAAAAAAGGATATCAAACCAGAAATAAACTTAAGAATTTCTGGATTTGAATACTCCTCCTACGTGGCTTTTAGGGCCCAGATTTGGTAGGTTCAATGATTGTGTGATTCTTTATCCCCAACATATCTCATAGATGGGTAAGGCCACAACTATCACTAGTGTTATCACAGAATCACAGAATTGCCAGGGTTGGGTTATGCCTATTAAAAGACAATAAATTCTAGACTATTGAGCCCAGTAGCGTCTAAACTGGATTGATTAAGCCAAACCTGAAAACTGATCTTTTTGGTTCATTCTCACACTATTTCTTGTGACCACCAGATTAAGATAGTGTAGACTTGCCAGAACGCCAGGAGACACCCCACTCCCTCCACAATGCTGTCCCAATGTCAGGCACAAGTCACGTTGAAGTTTCATGAGACCATCCATCCTCTCTGGAGCTTGAACCCCATCCCACAGCTGCAAGATCCTTACACAGTTTGAACCAGGATCTGTCACCAACTGATACTTTTCCACAATGAACTGTTGCACCTTCCATCCCGTAGGAGAAGTGACACAGTCAGTGGCACACAAAAGAAAAAAATAAATGAGCTGCCAAAACACTGCTGTACTCCGCCCATATGCCTCAATTATCTCTCCCAGGCCTCTGCAACACCACACACCACATCAGGAGCAGCAGAGGGACTACCAATGAGTAATTAAACCTCTTATTGCTTTGCATGGCTGAGTAGTTTTCATAACAGCACTGCACAAAACTTGAGATTCACAGATTTTTATATAAGCTCCTCAACATTTCTACTTGTCTCTCTCTCCTTTTTTAATTTCAACTGTTAGAATAAACTTTACTGTGAACTGCTGGGAATAAGAGGATTTGAGCAGGCAAATGCTAAGATGATTGTTCATTAAACCCAATGACTTTGAAACTGCCTCTGTGTCAATTAAAATAAAAACTGTCAAATGCTTTAAAAGAGCAGCTTTGTATAATAGGAACTCTGTTGAGTTTATTGGCAAAGAGAGCCGTTCCAGGAGGTTATGCAGAGGAAATAATATGTTGTACTTAGGAACGTCATCCTGGTCTCTCCTGATTCATCTTCCGAAAAGAAAACTGCATGTAACATATATATCAACATTCATATGCATGCTTGGTGGACAGATAGAGAAAGTGGGTTTGGGGCCTTTTACTTTTGTTTTTCCAGCTTTTTTTTTTTTTCTTTTTTTTTTTTTTCCCAAGCTAACAATTAGGATTGTCAACTTAGAAACCACCGGGTTTTGTTTTGTTATGGTTTTAACTGGATGCAGATTTAACACTTCGTATAACTTAAAAATGCCATTTTGTTACAGTAGCCAACCAATACGACAGGGGATCTTCACGCCTGCGTGTCAAGTGTCAAACGTAAAACAGCTGTAAAATGGGACAATAAAAAGCGTGTTACTGTAGAATTTTGACAGCCCCTGCACTTGGCAATTAGAGAACCTTCATAACAATTAACAAAATTGAAATCAGATTGAAGAAGCAAATGTGGGCGAGTAGAATGGTCGTGATAGAAGTGCCTTCCTTCTGTAAACACCCTTCTTCTCTGTCTTGTGACTACACATGCGTGTGCTGTGACCAACTCTGGACAATGAGAAAACATATGCAAAGGAAAGAAACCAAGTTTCTCTGAAACAAATGATGTTGAGTCCTCAAGAGGGCAGTGACGAGAAGGGAGGGGGGAAAAGCTTGCAAAAAAAAAATTAGAAAATTCAAATGTCTCTCCCCCCTTACCCACACACACTACCCACCCCTCACCGTGTTCTGTCCAGAAGAAAAATCCCTCAGCCACAATGGTTGTTTTTATTAAATTCTCCTCAATAAAAAGCTCAGGCAGGATTTATTAGGTACTCAGGGCGGACGTTTAGTATTTCGCCAGTTATTAAGTGAAAATCAATAGAAAGCAAAGAAAATGGAAGTCACTGCACTGTTAGCACGCTGTTGTCGCCCAGATATTATGTCGGCTGTCTTGTAGATTCATGACAGACGAAAGCGGCCGGGAGAGAACTCTTTCTGCTTACATTGCAGGAGCCAAAGTGGGGTTATTCATTAGATCAGGCAGCTGGCCAGATGGATTTCCAGTTCAGTTTTACCATTTATCTTAAAAACGCCTGTATCGAGTGAGAAAGAACACTGATATTATGTGATATCGATGGCAGCTTTATGTATCTAAATCAGGATTTATTGTTATTTTGTTCTGAAGACCTTTTTTTCTCAAGAAATACCATTTCACTGGAAGAAAATAATAGCTAAAACCTTGTCAAAGATAACCTTTCATGTTGTTCGTGCACCGCTGGCTGTAAAACAAATAGAACCCAGGGTATAAATAGGTTTAACCACATCCTTACAAATCATTCCCTTTAGGATATTCTTTCTCTTTTTTTTTTTAATGGTACAAATGTGGGTTTTGGTCATTAGTTGTTTTTCCTGCCAGTAATTTAGTTATAAATAACATCAGCATTTGTTTTAATTGCATTAAAAAACACTAGAAGTTGTATGTCTCTGGAATGCCAGAGCAGAAGGTTTTTTTCAGTGGGTGGGTTTGGGGAGGCTTTTTTTAAAATTTTTTTTGTCTTTTGCTTTTTTTTTTAAGCTTCTCTCTCTGTTACCAAACTTTTCACCCAGATCATCACAACAGAAGCAACAACAGCTGTTCTACCATAAAAAAATGTGTTTTTAGGAGAGAAGACCAGATCTCTGAAAGAGATTAGCTCCTGCTTAGGCATCTATAGGAAAAGTACAGCATTTCAGAAGTTCTCAACGTTCAGAAAGTTCCATTTTCTCCAGATCACGTAATTCTTTTGCAGCCAGGATGGATTTATTCCTGCCCTAATCAGGAACATCGTGCTGCTCAGCTCGAAGGCCTGCAAGGCCTTGGGCTGCAGCCTCAAAGCACCATCTCTCTCACAGATGTGCAATCAAAAGGGCTGCACAGGAAACGTGTTTTACCTTCCTCAAACACCAGGGGCTTATTTTGAACCACATGCAAATAGACACAGGATTCAGTAATCTCTGCCTCTGAAATTGTTGGTAGGGTTTCTTTGGAGGAACAGTGCAGACACGCCATATTTTAAATGGTGGCAATCCTAGCATACATCACCACATGTTTTTTGTTCACATATAAACCTCCGCAATCAATAACCCAATACCACAGACATCAAGAATAGAATAAATTCAAACACATGAAATGATATAGAAATTAGTTGTGAGAGGTGAGGATAGGATGGATGTCCTTTAAGGTAAGGACAATGAAGATGAAGCAGGGACAGGGAGGTGATTGTCCGTCTCTACTCTGCTCTTGTGAGGTCCCATCTGGAATACTGCATCCAAGTGTGGAGCCCCCAGTACAAAAAATACAGGGAGCTGTTGGAGAGGGTCCAGAGGAGGGCCACAAAGATGATCAGGGGACTGGAGCACCTCCCCTATGAAGACAGGCTGAGGGAGCTGGGCTTGATCAGCCTGGAGAAAAGAAGGCTGCAGGGTGACCTCAGTGCAGCATTTCAATATCTAAAGGGAGCCTACAGCAGGGAGGGGAATCAACTCTTTGAAAGGGTAGATAACAGCAGGACGAGGGGAAATGGTTTTAAGTTGAGGGAGGGAGATTTAGGTTGGACATCAGGGGAAATTCTTTACAGAGACAGTAGTGAGGTACTGAGGCTGCCCAGAGGGGCTGTGGATGCCCCATCCCTGGAAGTGTTCAAGGCCAGGTTGGATGGGGCCCTGGGCAGCCTGGTCTAGCATTAAATGGGGAGGTTGGTGGCCCTGCCTGTGGCAGGGGGGCTGGAGATTCATGATCCTTGAGGTCCCTTCAATCCTGGCCATTCTGTGATTCTATGTGGTTTGGTGGGCATCTATGATTGCCCACAGACCGAATTGAAAAAGGCCCAATGGGACGTGAAGAATCTTGACAGCTCAGTTACCTCTATGGTTCAGAGTATTTTTTATACAAATGCTTTTAATGTCCTTTCCCTCCTCTGAGCATCCTGATCAAGCTGTAGATGTCCCTGTTCATTGCAGGTGAGTTGGACTAGATGGCCTTTAAGGGTCCCTTCCAACTCAAAACCATTCCATGCTTTTATGATCTTGATTCTTAGTGAGCCATGAGTTCAATCCACCCAGGTCCACTTCCAATCACTTCAGGATCATCCAGGCTAACCTGACCAGCCTGTGCCCCTGCCAGGGTCTCTCTAAAATGCATTTGCTATGACTCAAGCAGCAATCTCAAACCACAGCTTTTAGTCAGTCATCCTTCAAAGGTTGTGAAGACTGCAGAGCACCGGAAAAATTAAAAAAGCCACTTTGAACCAAACACATACAAGAGGACTAACAAAGTTGTAAATAACATCACAGCCCTGGCAGGAAGAAGCAGAATGCATGCTTTATGTTTTTGGTTGTGGGTTTTTTTTGTTTTGTTTTGTTTTTTTGTCTTTTCCTTCTGAGAGTGTCTACTTGTCACCATTTCAGTGACATGTTGGACAGTTTCCCCCAGCTGAAATATTTTTCTAGGATCTTTGAGTTTTTAGATTCCCTTTGAATCCACTGTACCACAGGAAGAGGAAACCATTGTATCTAGGATGGAGTCACAAATGCATGCTCTTCCCCTACCAATACTCAGCTATTGTTATCCTGCAAAATCCTTTGATTTAGCACCAAAACTTGGCCACCCCCACTGCAGTTGCTCAGAGAAGTAGCAGCCAAAGCAAATGATTTTTCCCAGCCACAAAGTCTGCAGGGTGAAGAGAGCTTTTAATTTCTGTGCATGTTAATTTTTCAGTTTGGTAAGTTTCATTCTTGCTAGAACATCTCTCTGAGACACTTACAGACAACCCAAACGTGGTGAAAATCAAGGGCTAATGAAGGACCCTTAAACTCTCTGGTGTTGGTGAACATTCAGTCAAATTATTTTTAAAATAATATTTTACCTGACAAATCACATGCAGTTCTTTGGATTCACCCAGAGCCATTTACAAGACGCAGGACTACCTGAAAACAAACAAAGGAAATAAGAATTTACTTTGCTAGATACTTGCATATATTTTGCCAGAGACCTGGCTGATAGACATAGAAGAGACCTGAATCTGGGGATCCCATGTCTGAGGTGGAAGTTGTGCAGCAGTTATGATGGCTTTAGGTTTTATATAGCTGTAGGTATTGTTCTGATGCAACTCTGGAAAACGTTTCTTAGTTTACTTTTATTCATCATAATTCAAAATACATTTCTAATCAATGAACTTCCACATAAAATAAAACTAAATCAACCAATTTATCTCCAGATAATGAAGAAAAATGAAGGTGTCTTTAAATTTCTGTTTTGCTTAATTTCTTTCAGGGACGTGAATTTGTGTCCCAGCTGAGTTTAACAACTAGAAGACATCAGTTACTTTGTGATGGAAGCACAGAGCTATGCTTTTTAGCAAAGAGACATGCAATGGTCAAATAAATTCAGAGGTAATTTTTTGAATGTTCCATTGTTTTTTTTCTTTTTTTAGCTGTCCATTTCCAGTGTCTTCTGGTAGTGGCTGTGTGTAATGAACTAATCTATTCTTTATCTCTTTCTCTCTCTCTCTCTTTTGTTTTTTAATTGACTTTTAAGATGCCACATTTCTGATGAAGCTATGGAAAATAGAACATATTCCATTTACTCCAGGGTGGAAAAGTTGTCTTATCCTGGAAGGGTATTTTCTCCCCAAAAAGCAGTTTTTAGCAGTTAAAAATGCAAACCAGATTTTCTCGTATTCTGCAGCTTCTTATCTCCTGATGTTAAGTCTGGTTCATCACCATGAGATGAGCAACTCCCTTGCTATGTCTTATTTCTTCATTCTGATGCCATCTTCACTACTCTATCTTTGTCTGCCCTTCTCACACATGCACCTCAGCATTTTGTGAAAACAACCAGATTTACACTCAAAACTCCACCAGGTGACTCTTGTAGTCTGTACAGTGTTGGACAGAGTTTTCCACTTCAGTCCCAGGGCAGAGAAAAGAAATGGCATTTCTCCAAGCAGAACTCAAAACTTAGATCAAGTTTTCTTTCCTTTGCTCCACCTTTTCCAAGACAGTTTTCTCAGTGAAAACATTACAAAAAATACTAACAACTGATTTGATTAAATCAAGACTTGCTTTCCTTTCCTTTTTTTTTTTTTTTTTTTTTTGAGAATTGTTAATAAAATCACACTTCTAAAAAACCAGGACGGAATGTAAATGCTGCACTAATTTAATTACACTTTGGCGCTGGGAGACACTAATGTAAATATTCTGGTGAGTAGGCCTAAGACACTTGAAGTAATTACTTAAAGGCTTCCTTTCAAAGAATCTCCCCCTTTTTATTAAATGCCTTTTAACATTAGCACTTTCTTCCTGACAAATTAAATGAAATTTCATTACTCTCCCTGACTTAATGGCATGACGCTGCCTGCTGCAAGTGCAAGTTAACCCTCTCTGGACAGAAGACACAGCGTTGGTGTATTCTGGTTGTTTCTAGGTGTCACCACAGCCTGAGCATCCTCCTGGCAGCCCATCATCATCCTCATTCTTGTCTACAAGTTTTGCTTTACACTCCATATCTCAGAGTGTCCCAGCTATTGGTTCATAGCTGCCTGCACACCGAATCAACTGCTCAGAATCGGACGGTATCCAACTCTTCAGTTACTCCAACTTCAGGAAAGCTCAGTTTGTGGCTGGGTGCTTAGATTATAGGATACTTAAGAGACATATCCATAAAATTCAGATAATTTATGAAGCCTTTTTGTAGAATTAATAGAGATCTAATACCAAATTTATATTTGTTTTGATTATTCAGCTTAGTAGCCCACGATTGCAACATTTCACGACACTACAAAACTTTCTAAAATATCACAGTTCAGGCACCTTTAGCACCAGTAGATTTTCATGTACTCACAAAGAGAATTGAGAGAGAAGTTATGTTACTAATCAATACTAGTGAGAGCAGATTTAATTTTTGATCAAAGTCCACTTGGCTAGTCCATTTTGTAACTTTTTTTTCCCCCCTTTTTCATTGATTTCTCTTTAAATTAAATAAAAGTTGGGTCAGGTATCTCCTCTTTTATTTACATGCCCACATAGCACACAAAAGTCCTATTAGACCAGCTTCTGGGCAAGGAAAATAGTGACAAACTGTACCATGCTGTTTACAGATTGTCGCCACAGCAATAGAAGCTTTTAAAACATCCATGAGAGCCAATGTTCATAAGCTGGCAAAGAAAGTGAAGAAGCAGCAAAACAACAGCTCTCTGTGCATGACTGAAGGGAACTGCATCTTTCGTATGTCTCCCAACATCACTCCCAGTATCCTGGCAGGTTGGGGCTCTCTTGGTTCTCTGATGGATTCACCATTGGAAGCTGTAACAGTTTTACCTCTCAGACAACTTCCAGTATTGCCAGGCTACCACTACAGTAGCTGATTTTGCCTCTATCTTTCTTTTTCTTCTTACATTTCCCTATAATTTTGAGATTACCAAAGGACTGTTCTAAAGTCAGCCAGCTGCCAGATGTGCTTCACATTGCCATTTCCTACACTGTGTTTTCCTTCTAATTCTCTATCTCCTGAATTGTTGTCACTCTGGGTATTGCTGTGTGAGGAAAGGTACAAAGAAAAATACGGCCTTTCCTTGAAGGGTTCAGATGTTGCCTCCAAATGCAGCTGATGGAGGGTAGATGGCTTCAGCTGACCATCACTGCCACCTCCCCAGCTGACATCTCTCAGGCAGGATTAATGCAAAGCCAGCAAGTTTGCACTGTTTCATCCCAGCTGAGAATCTGCCCTTACATATAAATAAGGAAAAAAGTTCGGCTGCCATACCCGAATCAATCCTGTCCTGTCCAATGAAGCTGCCAGCAGCAGAGGAAATGTATGCTAGTTTTAATCATGGCTTTTAAAAGTTATTTAATGAAAAATTACCTCTTCTGAGCATGCTTCACCCATAGTACATGAGTTACTGGTGCCAAGTTCCATCTTGTCACAGATGTCCTTTATCAGAACGCAGAGTTTTTGGGAAAGAAAAAAGGGCCTTGCAAACTCAAGTTCACATGGAAAATTTTTTTTGGCAAAGTCCATAGGTCAACCTATAAAGAAAGAAAATATCTCTGTTTTCTTCTGCAGAGTTATCAGATTTTGAAAAGAGAGCTTTCTCCTCTTGTGAGGTCCAGGTAAAAGTTCACCCATTCCCTGGCTGCTTGCTTCTGACAAACAAAAATTAAGGACCTGAAAATAACTATTTTATCTGAAAAAATGCTAAACATCCCAAAACAAACATTCAGCTGTGCCGCTGCCAAATTCCACAAGTAAGAGAGCTGCAGGCTGAGACAGCTCATGCCTCACTGGGGAATAATGGGTAAAGTTTGGCCAGCTGCCCCTTCCAGGCCTTCAGGGACACACAATCCAATTGCAGTGTCTTAGCGGATGTGAATTTCAAGGTTACACCTGGGTGTTCAAGGGCAGGGCCAAGTGTAATCGGCACTTAGATCATAGATTAATCTTATTTGCCATCTATTAGGTTTGATTCTTGCTTCCCGCTCTCCCTCCCTAAAGCCAGGATTATTGTGATAGTTTAAGATAATGGATTCTAACGGAAGAAAGGTCACGCAGGCATTGAGATTTGGAACCTTAAGATAATATGATTAATCTAAAAGCTTCTTTCTAAAAGGGGAGGGGACACTCTCATACATTTAATTGAGGGGAGAGAGTGAGAGAGAGGGATGGAATTAGCAACATGGAAGGAGGAGTGAAGGCTCCTACTTTTTGTCAACTGCAATTAATTAACACAGTGAGGAAGTACTTTTCATTCATTTTCAAGATGATAAACCAGATCTGTTTTGTTTTTTTTCTTTTTTTTTTTTATCCCTAAAAGCGATTATTATTCATTTTTTAATATTTTTATGGAAAATCATAAATTGCTAATAAACATGCATATTGATTTTCACAGCAGCATACATAACAAATGTAAACCATCTGGTGCACACTCAGATATATACGTACAAATTCATACCACTGAGGAATGGAAATTGCTATATAAATGAGATATTCTACTATCAGGTGCTTGGCCTTTATAGGTACTGTAAGAAAGCCCTACAGTAGAGAAATGGAGTAATAAGTTTGTAGTAGTAGCCAAAACGTTCTGTGGACTGTAGAAAGAGACTCACTGTCCCAAAGAACCAGCAATCCTATATTGCTGTGCAGTACTACATAATAAAACCTTTCCTTAGTTATTTATACTGCCTGAGATTATCAGATTAAGGAATTTGTGAACAAAGAAATGGTCTCTTTGTTATTTATGCTGTTTATTTGCTTGAGAATTTGGATAACCAAACATAAAATAATCAAATCATATCCTTATGGTTTGCACATGTCGTTCCAATACCACAGGAATTATAAAAAACATTTTTGAGAAATGTCTGTCATATTTCTATTTCGTTTTTAAATCATAAAAATATCTCTCTTAAGATTTATAAACAACCACCAAACAGCAATAAATATTTTACAGGCCCAAATCAAAATTGTTATTAACAGCCCTTTAAATATGATGAGCCTGGCCACCCACTAACAATAACAAAATGCAAATAATTTTAGCTGATTCCTGGCTTTGATGTGTTTTGAGTGCCCAAGTTCACATATCCCATCCTTTCTTTGCTGATCATGGGGATCACAGGGGTTTTTGCCAGTCAAAAATAAATAAATAAATAAATAAATAAATGAGATAATGACTTGTATATACGACAGTGATCCCACTGTATTGGACTTTATCAATCAAGTAAAAATCATAGTTTTATGGAAATAAATCAATAGACTCGGAGATGTCACAGTATTTTCCTCTTGCAGGGAACCAGATGGGGTTTTATATGGCTGGTTTCTGCTGGATGGATTTAGAAATTTTCAGTCATATCTTCCCTGAAGCTCTGTGGATCTGCCCCAGAATTCAAGCAGCCAAAAATGTACCCTCTTGCTATTAGACCAGGTTCATTTCCCCAGAACTCACTTCTCACGGGGTGCCTTTCTGGAGCAGAATCACACTGCAGCTCCTATCCCTGTGAGGATGTAGGGAGTTAGCATGCATCACATGGAGCCTCTCATTTTAATCCTCTCTTTTCCTGACCAGTTTTGTCCCTTTTTACAATATATCCTCTCAGATCCTACGTGAAAAGAAGGGCAGAAGAATTTCCTTTCTCCCTGACCTTGCAGTCTAACTAAGAAGTACTGGTGAGATTATTCCTAGAAACTCAAGAACCAAACCAAGTGTTACTGCTGCCGTGGCTGAAGGGTAATGTAATTAGAACTTGAGCTACGACTGCTTAATACAACCTGTAATAATAATATATGTCTATCATCATTCAGAGCTATTCTAAGACTCAGAGCAGTATTAAAAGCCATAGGAAATAATTAGTAGTGAAGAGGAATCATGAGTTGCTGGGTGCAGCATTCACACAAGAACCAGCTGCAGATGGCTTTAAAAATGACTGTCTCCAACATATGCCATCACTGCAAGATCATCTATGGATAAGTTAATATAAGGAAAGATAAAATCTCAGGAATGGATTCAGCTATATATTAAGCTATATAATTCTGCGGATCACTGAGGTTAGGACATTAAGCTGAAGGAGGAGTGAGGGAGGATGGAGCACTTAAAAGCTGAAAGTAGGTATGCACAACTCAGTTGGTTGCTGCAGTTCTTATACTCATTTTGTGAAAATGCGAGTATTTACCAGCTTATATTGCCCTGTAAAATGTTTTAGGATATCATGTAGAGCAGAAAATAGAGACAGATTCTCCATAGAATTATAGCAGTGAGAGTGGCTGAAGCTCTTGGGAGAACGCAGATCTGCAGCTGCAGAGGGTTTCTATTTCTTTTGGAGAGGTGCTGAACAGGAATAGGTGGATTGGTCACAGCCAGTAACAGACAGACACACAGACCTGTTGGAAACTCAGAGTCCTTATGACATACTTTGCAAGGAGCCATGTTAATTGTGCATAAAAAATTGAGAGCCTCTATGTTGTTCATTACAGTTCTAATTTCCCTCCACAGGAGTGTCATATTTTTGATGGCATTTTAGCAATGTTGTCATTACATCCCTCAGAGAATGTATTCAGAGGATAAATGCTGATTATAGAAAAATAAATATATGGGCTAATACATGTTTAAATAAAAAAAATGATTGCTACATGAAAACGTAAAAAGGTATAACTAAAGGTGAGGTATAATTAAACTGCATGAAATTCAGCAGTTTGGACTGAAGAGCACAATCCTATGAAACCTTGTCCAGGAAAGCCAGACATGTAAAAGCACAAGCTGAATGTCAAATCCACAGGCAATTCCACTCGCCTCTACATATAGGTAAAAGCTCAGGCCCATCCTGTTTTGGCAGTACTTACAATTCTGTGGCTTTGAGGTATGAGGACTTCACTCATCTCCCTCAGAATCAGGCCCTGTGTTTCTAGAGGAAGGTGTTTCAGCAACTGACTCCAAGTTTCATGTTCAAACAGCCCCAAAGTTTTAAAAGAAAAATACTGAGATGTGTTTTCTTTTGCATTCCCCTACATACAGTTTTAGTGGGAGTTATGACCCAGACATCTTCCCTGGAAGGTCACTTGGTTGAAGAACCATAAAGGGATTTTTGCTGCGACATTCAGCAGAAGTCCTGCCCCAGTAGAGCAGCATCAGCAAAACCACGGACAGTATTTTCCTGTTGGTAGACAAGGTGAAAATACTTCCCATGGGAGGGGTCCTCTAATACTACCCAGAAATGAATTAACACCCAATGGGTGTAAATACTGGGTACTTCATCATTCTCACCCTCATGATACCTAATTTTTTTCCCATAAAGGCCTAACATGCATGCAGCTTCTAAACAGATATCAAAAAAAAAAGATATCAAAACTAGAAAAGATCTCAAGATGCAAGTTATTGAAATAAATTATAGAACTTATTATTCAAAAAACAAAAAAGAGTGAAATACAAAATAAACAGTGTTTCCTGTGTGGAATAGGCTTTTCCCTCTCCTTTAAATCCATAGGGTGATCTGTAGAGACATTGTGGATTGCACAGACATCTACAGGCTCTCTATGGAAGATCTCTTTGCTACCCACCAGAGACTAGAGGTGTATGTGGAAGTGTTGGTCCCCATTTCTTCTCCATTCCCATAGAACTGAGTCTTTAAAAACTGCTGTCATGAGAAAACTGCCTGGATACTTTCAATCAACACAGCAGATTACGTTTTAGCAGAATATTTCTTCACTCCTCCCTCATTCAGCCGCTGGGCCTTGTGTATGTTATTCACCTTCTTGGAAGTAGTTGTCAGTTCTTTTGAGCTTCTCCAGAGAAAAAGCCTCTGCCTAATATATGATGTGCTTATTCATCCCAGACGTAGGGCATATCATTCTCAAATGACTGACAAGCGTTCTAAAATGAAGAGAGCTCCAAGTGTGCTCTAATAGTGATGGGAAGCATTTCTAGTCAAACATAAAGCAAATTAATGTGAGCCCCCACTGCACCTTTAATCTGGAAATGTCATAAAGTAATAAGCAGAGTGACCCTGGCAATGTCTAAGGTTGGATTTCAATAGATTTACATCTTAAAGGGCAACTACATATTTTTAAGTAGTCGGGGCCCAAATTCAGAGCCTCTCTTCCACCACTGCAAATCTGGAGGGACTCCACTGACTTCAGGTACAACAGATATCAGAGGATGATCTTATTTTATAAGCTTTCATGACAATAATGCTCATCCCTAAATCAGCCACCAGCTTCCCCACCAAAGAAATTTTAATCCTTTCAATCTCTTTCATTATCTTAAGAAGGGGCAGACTCTGGCTCCGCATGTCTCATTTCAAACTAGTTTCATTAGAAGTATATTTAATTAACGCACCCTCTTGATTAGCATTCAGAATGAAAAGCTGTTTTGCACAGCTCCCAAATCAGAAGATTCAATAATACACATGAAAAGAAATAGGCCACAGGTCATATTCCAGCCAAGAAGTAGCAGTTTTCATCCAGAAAGAGAGTATGAATCCAGAGCTTCCTATTACTGTAGTAATGCTATATTTTCCAGGTAAGTAAATAGTGAATATA